GAGGCTATTGCTTAGTTGTTAAATAGTGTACTGAGTACTATCTATACTTGAGTCAAGTTCTTTATAAATTCAAAATGACTAAAGTACCTAAAACTAAAAAACACAAAAAACCATCGTCATCACCAAGTTCTCTAAACCTATCATTTACTAATATTCGTGGTCTTCGAAGTAACTTTTCTTCTGTTGAGTCTTATCTCTTGCAAAGTTCACCAGACCTACTTGCTCTTTGTGAGACTAATTTGAGTTCGGCTGTCCCATCTTGTGATCTTAGTGTTGATGGTTATCTTCCTTTAATTCGTAAAGACTCCAATAATCACATGCTTGGCCTGGGCATCTACATTCGTAAGAACTCACCCATTTGTCGTGAAACCAGGTTTGAATCTACAGACTATTCATTTATGTGCTTTCGTTTAGCACAACTTCACTCTATCGCCTTTCTCTTTGTTCTATATCGCTCTCCTTCATCCCAAGATTGCACTATTCTTGATGTTATTTCTGATCAAATTGACCAAGCCCTCTCTCTTTATCCATCGGCCAATATCGTCGTTGTTGGTGACTTTAATGCCCATCACACTGATTGGCTTGGCTCTAGTGTCAGTGACTCTGCTGGCGTTAAGGCCCTCAACTTTTGCCTTTCTCAATCTCTAACTCAAATAGTCAACTTTCCAACTCGTTTTCCAGACAACCCTAATCATTTACCTTCTCTACTCGACTTATGTCTTGTTTTGGATCCTAGTCAGTGCTCAATTTCTCCACATTCACCCTTAGGTACTTCTGATCACGGTTTGATCTCTCTAAAACTATTATCAAATTCTTCTACTTCATCAGAATCCCCCTATCATCGTACCACATACAACTACCTTAAAGCTGACTGGGACTCTTTCCGTGATTTTCTTCGTGATGGCCCTTGGGTAGAAATCTTTCGTCTTCCTGCTGACAAATGTGCTTCTTACATAACTTCGTGGATTCAGGCTGGCATGGAATCTTTTATTCCCTCTCGACGATTCCAGGTCAAGCCTCACTCTTCTCCTTGGTTTTCCTCACATTGCGCTGCAGCAATTTCTAATCGAAACCGTTACTTCCATATCTATCAGCAAAACAATTCTCTAGAAAACAGACATCTGTTCACTATCGCCAGAAACCATTGTAAAAAGGTTTTGTCTGACGCCAAAGCTCGCTATTCCCAGGTCATTAAATCTCGTATCTCATCACAAAAATTAGGCTCTCGAGACTTCTGGAGAATCTTTAACAGTATCAATAATAAGGGCAAATCTGTTATTCCTTCTCTCTTGTATGGTTCAGACTTTGTCACCTCACCTAAAGACAAAGCTGAATTGTTTGCTAAGAACTTTTCATCAATATCATCTCTTGATTCCACTAGTTGTGTTTTACCTGACATAGCCGTCAAACAGGTTGATCCCTTGCTTGACATTCGCATCACTTCAGCTTCTGTATCTAAAGTAATTTCCTGCTTAGACTCTTCAACAGCTTGTGGTCCTGACAACATTCCTGTTGTAGTCTTGCAGAGGTGTTCTCCGGAGCTTTCATCCATCCTTTCTAAACTATTTAACAAGTGCTTATCAGAGTCTTGTTTTCCATCATGCTGGAAAGCAGCATCTGTTATCCCTATTTTCAAAAATTCCGGAGAGCGATCTGATTCATCTAACTACCGTCCCATTAGTCTTCTTCCTGTCATAAGCAAGGTTTTTGAATCTTTAATCAACAAACGCTTAATCTCTCATCTTGAATCAAATAACTTACTTTCTGATCATCAATATGGATTTCGGTCTTCTCGTTCTACAGCTGATGTGCTAACAGTAATAACCGATAGGTTTTACCGTGCATTAGATAGAGGTGGAGAGGTTAAGGCTATCGCACTTGACATTTCTAAAGCTTTTGATAAAGTTTGGCATGCTGGTCTTCTCCATAAGCTTTCTTCTTATGGTGTAGCTGGTAACATCTTTAAGATTATTGAGTCCTTTCTTTCCAATCGTAGTATAAAAGTTGTCCTCGATGGACAACACTCTTCTTCACATCCTGTAACTTCAGGGGTTCCTCAAGGTTCAATCCTTGGCCCTATACTCTTTTTAATTTACATTAACGATCTTCCAGATATTCTCACATCTAAGGTGGCATTATTCGCTGACGACACTACCATTTACTCTTGTCACGATAAGAAGCCTACACTCTCTGATTGCTTGGAGGGGGTATCTGAGCTTGAAAAGGATCTCACTTCTGCTACAGCATGGGGCTCACAGTGGCTGGTGAACTTTAATTCAGATAAAACTCAATTTTATTCGGCCAATCGTTATCGTAATAATTTAGATCTTCCTATATTTATGAATGGTAATGTACTAGATGAGTCATCTACCATTCATCTTCTAGGATTAACTCTTACTTCTGATCTTTCTTTTAAACCGTATATTAAATCCATTGCAAAATTAGCATCTGCTAAGGTTGCATCTCTTTATCGAGCTCGACACTTTCTTACTCCAGATTCTATTCTCTATCTCTATAAATCTCAAATCCGTCCCTGTATGGAATACTGTTGCCACATCTGGGGCGGATCTTCTAATGATGCTCTTTCTCTTTTAGACAAGGTGCAAAAACGAATTGTAAACATAGTTGGACCTGCTCTGGCAGCCAATCTCCAACCTTTGTCACATCGTCGTAATGTTGCTTCTCTTTCTCTTTTCTACAAATACTATAATGGGCACTGCTCTAAAGAGCTAGCGTCCCTTGTGCCATCTACTAAAATTCATTCACGTGTTACTCGCCATTCAATTAAGTCTCATCCTTTTTCTGTGACTGTTCCTAAGTGCTTCAAAAACTCTTATTCTTCTAGTTTTTTTCCTCGAACATCAGTTCTTTGGAATTCGCTTCCTTCATCTTGCTTTCCTGATTCAAATAATTTGCAATCTTTTAAGTCATCAGTCAATCGTTATCTTGCTCTACAGATTTAGTCTTTTCTCTTCCAGTAACTTCCAACTCTTATAGTGGTTGCTTGCAGCCTTGTTGGAAGTGAAGATGTTTAAAAAAAAAAAATATATATATATATATATATTGTGCCTAATCAAATTATTTGTCTACATTAATATTTTTTGTATTTTTAATCATCTTGGAGGTAAAATTTAAGTTTTTTCAAAAATACATTTTAAACTTAATATATAAATAAAGTATTTTCTTATTATTTAGTGTATCATAAGATACACTAAATAATAAAAAGAATATGTTTACATGAAGAATATGTTTACATGAAGAATATGTTTATTAACATGATTTTTTAATATTTTATTGGTTCTACCTTATTTTTTTATAACTGCATGTTGATGATTTAGCATGCTATAAATGGAATTTAAAGTCATTTCTTTCAAATATGCATTATGGTTCCAATGCCAAATAACTTTTTCATTCAATTGGGTCCTATTTGTGACCTTTTTTTGTTGTTTTTTTTTGTGAAATTCCTCTCTTTAATAGCTACCATCTATTTTCTATGGAGTTAAGATCTGGGAAGTTTCAAGGCCAATTCAAATGTGGAATTTTTAGAGATGCCAATAATTTTTAATAGATTTTGCAGTGTAGCATGGGGCTATATCTTGCATAAATAGTTTCTTCTGCTTATTTGGAAACCACTTATTCAATTGAGATCAAATGTTTTAATGGCTTTTTTGTATTGGTCTTGTTTCAACATTCCATCCACAATGCACAATTGACCAAGGCCTTTTCCACTAATAACCTGTCTAATAATTGTCTGGATTATACAATCTTCATGGAATTTTTCATTGGAAGTGATTTTCACATATTAAGCCTTTTGAGTCATAATTTCTATGGTAGACTTATTGCTAAAGCATTCCTCGAGAAAACAAAATTAAAAAAATCACTAAATAATAACACTAAAATATTAGTAAAAAAATTTATTTTTGTATTATAATGACTTGCCGGTTTCCAGTCGTCAACAGTGAAACTATTGTACTACTTTGCCCATTCCGTGCGCTTTCTTTCTCCTATAATTGGTTAATTTTGGCTATTGTGCTGGCCTTCTACTTCTGATGCCCAAACCATGCAAGCTTTGTCAAACAGTGATTGTTGCTACATTTAGTCCCACCTCATTCAACTTGCTGGTAATTGCTGAGTATGTAGCAAGTCTATTTTCTTTCACTATCTTCACTAGCTTTCTCTCCTTTCCTCATAATTATTATTGGGAGGCCTTTTTTCAATTTGTCTTTGATTTTGTTTACAGTGGGTCTTGATATCTCACATTTTCAAATAATGCTTATCTGTCAAAAGATATTAAATATTTGCTTTTTTTTTCAGAACTGATGTCTTATTTTTTCACCATTTTGATATTTAGAACTTTTAAACAATTTTTTTACTAAAAAACTATTTTATAAAAGATAAAAATTGTTTTGTATAGAAAATATTGAAGCAAGTCATTCAGTTTATGCAAATATTGTTTAATTTAAATAATGGTTTAAATTATATTATAATATAAATCTAATGTAATAAAATCACAAAAGTTTACCAAAAAAATTACTGCATTTAAAGAAACAGTAAAACAGCAAGAATGACAAAACACAAATACCATGAATTAAAAAGATGCTATTTTTCCCCTGAAAAATGTTGGCACCCTGAAAATAATTTTATATTGCTAATAGTCTAAAGGTGTTAAGTTATAAACCAAAAAACATAAATCACTGTCAATCATAAATCAGAAAACCTAAAAAGACATTGCAAATCAATTTAATAGCACCTCAACCATTAAATCGTCCAAATTCTAGAAAACTTATAAAGTGGACTAAAAATTTGATTAAGGACAAAAGACAAAGGTGCAAATAGCAATTACTAATAGCAAATGTGATATTCAATTTGAACCATTTAGTTAACTTTATAATTAAATAATATTTATATTAATAGTTTTATATTTAATAAATAAAATTTTCTTTTGTTCTATTTTAAAAATAAAACAGAGACATCAACAAAATTAAGAATCTTTTATTTAGTTTCGTAACAGATTAGACTTGAATTATCTTTCAAAAGTTGATTCAAATCCAGAAACATTAACAGCAAAGATGACATTTGATCTTTTTCGAGTTGATTGGAAATACAGAGAGTATATTTTTGAACATATTGATCATCTAGATGCTTTTGTGTTGCATGTTCATCCATTTGCAGCGAGAAACTGTCAAAAAAAAATTTCAGATATGATTCACTGTGTGGTAAGGTTTTTGCTAAAATGCATAGTGTAAATATTGTATTTGAATTTTCTTGAAAATCTTGAAAATAAATTTGTTAAAGTGTTAAATTTTTGACAAGTTTTGCATGTAAATGTATTGCAGAATATATATTACTTTGTATTTTGCTTCATATATAAGTAGTGTTCTTCGTATAAAAGTGTTGCAGATAATATATTTCTTTGTATGTTGCTTTGTATGTTTGTGTAGATATTGCATATAGTTTTTTTATATGTTGCTTTGAAACTTATTTTTGTGAACAATGTTGTTTTAATACAGTGCTTAAAATGTGGTGCAACATTTTTGACAAAAACAAATAAAAGCAATAATTGCAATGAGTGTGGAAGTTCTATGATCATTGAAGTTGATAACCAAGAAAAAAACGAATCAAAATATTCTCAAAGGAAAGATGAAAATAATCTTAATAGTAATTCTGATCGTGTTATTAATTGTAATGCTACTGCAGAGCACCAAACTTATCATTCTAACCTTTCTAAGTCACTTCCCTGTTGTAAGCAACTTGAAGAAAAGAAGTAATTTTTGCTTTTTTTTTAAACTTGTTTTTATGTTTAATATATGTATATATATATATATATATATATATATATATATATATATATATATATATATATATATATATATATATATATATATATATATATATATATATATTTATATATATATATATATATATATATATATATATATATTATATATATATTTATATATATATATATATATATATATATATATATATATATATATATATATATATATTATATATATATATATATATATATATATATATATATATATATTTATATATATATATATATATACATATATATATATTTATATATATATATATATATATATATATATATATATATTTATATATATATATATTTATATATATATATATATATAAATATATATATATATATATATATATATATATATATATATATATATATATATATATATATATATATATATATATATATTTATATATATATATATATATTTATATATATATATATATATATAAATATATATATATATATATATATATATATATATATAAATATATATATATATATATATATATATATATATATATATATATATATATATATATATATAAACTACATTTTATAGTAAAAATGAGTACTTATTATTATTTTGTGTTTTTTTTTAATTACTTTGTTTTTATACATATAATAATCTTTTGAAACTACTTTTACCAGTCTAAAACTACTTCTGTACCTTTTACCAGTAGTTATTTAGTTTTTGTAATAATCAACAATCAGATGTTGATTTTACAAAAGCAAAAGCGAGAAGATATATTAAAATAAAGTTTAAATTAAAAAAATAAATATTTGTATAAAAGGATAAATATTTGTATAAAATAGAAAAATAATTTTAGGCTTAATATCTTAATTAATTTTTTATTTAATTTTAACTTTTCAAGTTTTTTTTTTTAGTTTTGTTACATTGCATCATGCTACCTCATACCCATCTTTATCAAATAAAAACAACAATAACAATGAATTCAATAATCAAATAAATAAAGCATTTTTATCTCAAGAAGCTTTGATGGAAAAAAAGTTATCTGAACCTAGATTAATTTCAACTACAGAGCAAGATTCCTTATACATCGATAATATTTTTAGATGTGATCACAGGCTGAAGTTATTTTTGTCTATAAATGTTTATAGGCATGAAGAAGAAGAATTTGTTTGTCAACTACAAGTGAGATTTTTTTTTTTTTTAAACTAATTTACTTTTAACAAGGTTGCAAACAGCTACTACTCATTTCCAACAAGTTTACAAGCAACTACTATTTATTTCCAACAAAGTTGCAAGCAAGTAATATTTACTTCCAACAAAGTTAGAAGCAAATATTCAAGTCAAATGTTACCAGAAAACAAGAGTTGAAAAGCATGAAAATGGTTGAAAGAAAGCTTTAAAAATTGTAATATGTATCAGTTGGAAAGTATAAGTGGGTGATAAGAATTTCAAAGCATTAATGTGGAAAAAACTAGGTGATAAAAGCAAAAAACTAGGTGATAAAAGTTTTAAGAGCATGAGGGGACAGGTATAGTAAAAGGATGCAACTATGCTGAATGACTTTGCTGAACATGAGATGGTAGCTCATTTAAACAGTAACCATGATAGTATTTGTAGATAAGAGAAAAAGAGGCTAAAATATTAAGTTATACATCTAAAGTAGTTTTATTGGCAAATAAAACCACTTTAGATGTCAGGTTTTCAAGACAATAATAAAAGTAAGAAACAGGACAAAGGATGGAGAAAGAAAGGATGGAACTTTGTGATACCTCTTTTACTAGAATTTACTTAGAAATAAAGAAAAGTGTGTCGAGGATGACTTGAATACTGCAATTAGAAATAAGTTGTTAAATAATCTTTTAAATTTTCAAAAAAACACCATGTGAAGCAAACTTATGAAGAGGACCAGCATGTCAGATTTTATTAAAAGTCTATGATATGTCAAGAGCAATAGCTCTTGTCTTGCTACCCCCATCTAATGCTTGATATAACCTTTCTTTTTTATCAATTAACAAATCAGCTGTAGAATGATAGGAATGAAATAAATTATTGTCAGAGTGTAATTTGTTAGACTCAGGATGTGATATTAAAAGTTTGTTAAAGAAAAAAAAGTTTGGTAATATCAGAGAGAAGAAAGATTAAAGGATAGTTAGAGGTGTCAAAGTGTTTTTGAAAATCAAAACCACAGATGCGATTTTTTAGTAGGAAAGAAAAAAAGACTCAGTTAAGCACTATTATTAAATTATTAAATAGTTTAGAAAGTATAAAAGGTCTGGAAAACCTTTTGAAGACTATGATAAAAATGTTGTCTAGACAACAAGCAGATGAAGAGTTAAAAATAATAATAAGATCAGACCCATGATTTAAAGATAAAATGTCTGACTTTAGTTAATGACATTGTTGAAGATTTTCCAAAAGTTTCTAGAGCTAACTTTTGAGATAAGATTTAGTAAACTGGGAAAAATGGAGCTTAGCATAAGACAACATCTCTTTGCATTGGTTTCTTTCGATAGTAAAAAGATGTTTGTTTTCAATAAAAAAAGATGAAAACAATTCAAAATAGCAGTTGAAAAACAAGAGGTAGAAGACTTGATTTGAAATTGGCAATAAGAGATAATAACTTCCATATCATCCATAAATTTATGTAGGCGCAATTATTAGTGGGGAGGCGAATTATATCAGCTCTAGAACATTCAAAAAGAAAATCACAAATGAAATCATAATTAGTTTAAAGGCATTAGTGTAACGTGTGATGATAGGAAAAGCATGAAAGCAAAGTAAAAGATAAAAGTTTAAGAGAGAACACAGTATGGCCCACCAAGGTAAAATATAAAGACACTTAGCAAGACACAAATCAAGTGAAGTTCAGAGACAAGACGCAAATCGAATTGAAGTTAAGTGATTAGGGTTGTCTAAAATGCAAGTCACAAAGTTAACTATTTGAGTGAGAGATTGAAAACTACAAAAGTTATCAGCTTTAGTGCTAGCAAGGTCAGTAGTGCTAGAGGCAAGCTATTCAATGTGATTAACAATAAAGTCATCAACATAACAACAATATTAGCTGATTGATAAAGATAAAGGTTATATTGATCCAAAATGGCATCCAAAAGGTAAGGTTTTAAGAAGAAGTAGAACAATACAAAACAAAGAAAAAGATGATAGAGTGAAAATATGTTAAGCAGAAGCACATAAAAAGAATGGTCAGATAATTCAAACCTGATTTCACCACAAATAGGTGAAATTATCCATAAGTATAGGTCCAGACCAAGCATCTGATAAAGTGTTTGCCAATAAAAGCCATCAACGCTGAGACTTGGAGATGAAACAGCAAAATTCAAATTCTCACAAAAAGCAAAACTTATTTGAAAGACAACAGATATTTTTAAAAGATGGAAAAATAAAATAGAATAATTGAAAAAATAGGTGGTGTGAATTAATTAATGAATTAGGTGATGGTTTTTTGTGTTGAAAATTTTTAGGTACTTTAGTTATGTTTTAAGTTATTTAAGAATTTGATGCAATCATAGATGCACAGTGCGTGTCACCAAAGCAAAACTGAGCTAGCATTAAACTGGGTTTTAGAGCTGTACCCTCATGAGGAGCTAACAGAAAGAGTTGCATTGTCAAGAAGATCGAACATTCATTATCTTAGGCTAGAAACAATGTTGTACAGATTTACATATATGCCAGCATATTAGATAAAGAAAGGGTGTGATGCTGGTCAACAGAATTTTTCTGCTACCCCTTAAGCCTATGCAGCATTCTACAATAGCCGCATACAGTTAACATCTGTCCAAAACGTAAACATCATTCTACAATAGCCGCATACAGTTAACATCTGTCCAAAATAAGTATTTTTATTGAGACATTGTCTCTAGCCTTTACTCAATTAAGAGCCCCAAGGTAAAGTGTTTACTCCTAGCTTTTGCCAATAAAGAGAATCTTACAATGCAGCAAAATATAGGGCAGTTTTTACTTGATTACATGTTGCCAGTGATCATAATGAACCTTAACCTGACATGAAGTAGTTAAATAAATTTTCTCTGTATGCAGTAAAAATTTGCTCAGTTTTATTATAAATTAAAAAAAAAAAAACATTCTATATGAAACGAAACTGAAAACTAAAGTGAATGGTTTGACTGTTGTCATTAGTCAGTCAATGAGTTAACACCACAGTAGAAGTTCTAACAGAACACAAG